TTTCTCTGGAGGCGGAGGTAAGATTTATATGAGTTCTAGACCAGCTTGAAGGATGTTAGCTCGTCATCTGACAATATGATTTTAGAATTGCCAAACGGAATCATTGTAAAACATTAATAGGAGAAATAAAAACGGAAACTAAAGTGAAATGAATTTGAGTCATCAGTACGGTGTAAAACATCTATTAATCTCAACTGCTGGATCCATAGAGCTCAGCGAGTTCATGATTGAACATAATCATGAACAGCAAAAAGTGTTATTGTTTTACGTACAATATGAAGGTGAATCCCCTTCGGATATGTAATTGTATCTGAACGGAAGAACAGATCGTGACACCAAAAATTTACAGAACACAAACTTCAAATAGAATTGTTTCGATTGTGTCACAATCTCCATGGTCTGCTGTCTCAAACTGTGCAGAAACGTTTCAAAACGGCGCGCTATATTAAGATAGGATGTCTGTTACGATAATGGTAGTGGTCATAAATTTAGCCACGACCACTACGACTGGACTTTATTATTTCTTCAACTTCTATAGAGCGCTGTGTTAGTCTGTCGAAGATAGGTCACCCAAGTTTAGGAGAAGCGGTTCGTTGCGCTTTTGTTACGATGCAATACGATCTGATACGATGATCCCGACTGAAATCTGATCGTGTTTCTAAGATTATCACGATTGAACTAGGATCTGATAAAATCACCAAGATTGAGATCATATGTAGATATATATGTAAATTGATATAACAATAATTATTGTGGATATTAGGAATGTTAAAGGGGTTTTCTAAATTTTTTATGTGTATCGGGGACACGAATAGCTTCAATTTGCACCATTCCAATTTTAATTTTGACGCCTGCGGTTCTTGCAATTCCACTAAAACTAACGCGTCTTATGACGTCACTAGAGGGGAGTTACCGGAAGCTACTATTGATATTTATACAGTTCCCCTCTAGAAAACCCCTTTACAATCCCTTAAAGGTACCTTGATACGAATTTGATAACTATAAATTTAAGTAGCATTAAGATTGTTAAAAATATGAGCATTTATGAATTGCAATTTATAAGTTAGCATAGGTTTCTGTAGATTTTAAGTAATCATAAACAAGTTTATGCAGCATTGTGTATCCATCCTGAAAAAACAAAAATATATATGATAGATTGATCATCAATGGAGCTATTTATTTCATTTGCAATGGAACAATTTTCTCAATGCTAGGTAATCCTCTCCTTTGAATATAGATTATAAATTCTCATGATGTGATGTGATTTTCAGACCGGTAAATGTGAAACGCGCAAAAGTATATGGAAACGGGTAACCTCTAAAGACTCCTGGCCTCATGGGGTTTTGTTTGGCCCTTCGGAACTCGCCTCGAAGAGACACCTCTCATTTTTTTGGCCCTCCTCAGGCATTTTCTAGATTCGTTCCTGAGTGTGGAACTATTTTCCAATGTGCAATGATGAATTTTAGTTAGTTTATTTTCATAACAGAAAATTGAGTAAATAAATATCCGTCTTACTAGAGATCTGACAGTTCTTCCAAGTTTTTGATGTACACGTTTTACAGCTCTAAATATTTCAACTTCATTATCCAATCGTATTCTTTGTTGAATATTTTTTAGTAAGCAGAATGTCCTGCCATAATGAGCATCACTGAAAAATATTTCACAATTAAAACACTAACAAGCTATTAATTTCTAAATAATTATGTATCAACAAATACATTTGATAAAAAGAGCAATAGAAACAAAAGTATGTAAGTTACAGATATAGAACTTTACTAAAAGTGAAGTAAAGAAACCTATGGTTACATATTATGAAGAATTACAATTATACAAGTAATATGTATGGTAACTTGGTTACAAATACAAAATTATTATCTTTGGTTACAGGCGAAGAACTGCAAAAATAATGCATGTATCTAAGATTACAGGCGATCTGGCAAACTGAAGAAAAAATAATACAAATGTTCTACAATCAATGTGCGACCAAATTGTGTTCCCATGGCGTGTTTGTAATAAAATCTATGGGCTTGGTGCAGTTCATTTGCATTATTGAGATGCTACGATGGTTGTCTAAAGACATTCTCGATTCTGTGGCGATTATTATCGACAATGGTGCCCAACGTACGATATCTAACGCTTCCTTCACGCCTAGGGCTCTGAACTAATTTTCTGTCGCCGTAGCAGCTCAGTCAAAACTCCTTTCCGACGTGACGTGGCTATAAGGGGACAGGCAAAGAACTACAAAAAGTATTATCTTTGCTTACAGGAGTAAAATTATTACTACATGTGATGAATAATGAAGAGACACAAAAGAAAATTGCAAGATTGCAGACGATTAACTACAGACTAAAATATATGGTTGCCGATAAAGAACTACAGAAGAAAAATTGCATACAGTAGAAGAATTTGTGGTTTTTGTGGTTTCAGGCGAAGAACAACAGAAGAAAGAGGATGGCTACAATTACATAAAAGAACAGACAATATTTGTAGTTAAGAAGAAGTGAAGAACTATGATAAGCAAATAGAACAATTTACCTTGTGAATAGTGCCATCGGTTTATAGTCATCATGATTATGATCAACTTCTTCTATTAGCTCCAATAACTTCTTTATCAACAGGTTAAAATTATTCATATCAGTTACATCTACTATATAAACCGTTACTGGTACACTTGTCTCATTCTGAAAATATAAATGCATCATAAAGGATCTAACCATTTTATCCCTTATTATCATATCATTGTAATATCATCAGCATAATTTATTAGTGAAACTCGCTATACAAAATGCTTAACGTATGAAACCGTGCCGCGCTTGGCCACCCAACCACTCAAATTATAAATCGTGGCAAATTGTCAAGCCAAATGTATTCAAACGTGGAACGTTTCATGTGATTATTTCTCATTGAATTTGGCACATCTAACAGATCTAACACATCAAATTTGATATTATCTGTGGTGGCATTGTATAGGAAGTGAAATTTTGACATTTGATAGTCATTCTACATTTATCTTGTATCATATGGTATTTAATAATATATTTTGTTGTTATTTTACAAATGATCAGATTCTGACATCATGGTTCCGTGAATAGCTCAAACGATTCCCATATATGGTCGTATGTATTTGTAAGTGCATTTGTGCCAAAGAACTAAAACATAGGAAACATTCCACAAAGTCTCTTGAAGCTTTCCATCTTCTGAGTGTTTGTCGAAAGTTTCAAAATCAAATGTATAACGTTAAAAATTTATTTCTGATTGTCGTAATATATCTTAGTGTCTTACATTTCTAATAAATAATTCCACAAAGTTTCGCGATGTATTATCTTTAATTTTATTTGGCGGTACCTGACTTACTGTCTCTGATTTGACCATTACGTTAATACTACTGGCGTTTTCTGACAGATGCTCAACAACAATTTCACCATAAACCTCATCTGTACCGGTCTCTGGACAAAGTGCCATTTTGGTCTAAAAATAAATTATGGTTTATTACTCTGTGCGAATTATGCCAAATTTTCGAATATAACACATGAATGTCTTAATCATACATTTTTTAAATATATTGTTATGGGAATTTTGAAAGATGTTTGAAAATATTGTAGGAAATATTGCAATTTCAAAAATAATATTTGAACATTTTTCTTAGACGTTTTAAAATATTGTAATAATCTATAATTACAAATAATATCTGAAAATATTGTTATTGTATTCTCAAATCTAACAATTAATGTACATAAACGTCAAAATACCGTATCATCAATAATGAAGACTGCTGAAGGTATCTGTCTGTCATAAATATGTTGCCATGTATGAGCTGGTTCCATACTTTTCAATTCTTGAAAGTAATAACCATCTACTTGTGTATGGCTCTGTAAGTATAGAACATAGAATATAGGTGGATCAAATATGATAAGCTTAATTTGGCATTGTAAAGTAAAAAGAGTTATATCGTATGATATTTGAAGATCTGTGTATCACATTTGATCTGGTTTTCAAATGAAGGGATTGCGAAACCCAAACTGGCTGTTATATTGATCAACTTGGGTTCGGCTATCAGAAAAACAAAAAAGAAAAGAAATTGTAACCTAATTTTATAATTTGATTGCCAATGACAAGGCCAACTGGTTGAATGCAGAGTTAACACTAATCAGAACATTATTGCTGTTTTCTCAGTAATATGGTTTTCCAGGTTTTCAGTCGTCTACTCAGTGACTAGTACAAAAGGTTATTTATTGAGCCAAAAACAGAGGACTTGCACGGCCATGTTGATCTTGCTAAATATAAATATCATTTAGGATTAATGAAATATAAGATGAAGAAAGCATGAACTTACAGGGAATCTGAATAATGATAATTCATCTGTTAGATGAAGTTGATAAATTTTTTCTACAAAGATAAAAACATAACTGAAATGTTAATACCTATTATAGTTATGTTTATAAGTAAACCAAGTTCTAACGATCGAAACAGCAAAACGAAACCCGAAATCTAAACAACATATTGGCGAAACATAGGTAGCAGCTGATGAACTTTTCACTATAATTTACTATAATTGTAATACTTAAGTATTTGTTTTAAATAAGAGGCCCCCATTATTTATAGTTTAAAAGGTTAGCTTCGATTTGTATAATCAGCTATATAAGAAACTCACCTGAATCGACTTCAATGCTGTTTAGATGTTCAAATTGTTCAGCCAGTGTCGTAGAGTCAACTTTAATCTTCGACTCATATTCACTTAGAAACACATTTGAATACACACAAGTATCACCTCTTTTTAATCCCTCAAGTAAAGCCTCAAAGATAAACTGAAGTTGTGCCTGAATGAATGAATTAAAATCATTATGACGATGAAAGAATTAGATTAGACATCTGCACATTTATGGGGTTTTAAACCATAAAAATTCATTTCTTAATTTCTACCACCAAATGTTGCTGTATACTTAAAATATGGTTTAAAATTTGTGGTAGCCTAATCGTTTACATTTGAAATTTTTCGGGAGTCAAAACGACGATCTTACAACTGTTTGAACCATTCCTCTTCTTTGGTTTCTGAGCTTCTTGATACATATCATAATATCTACAGAGCCAATGTCTTTATATTGTTCTAAACAATAATCTACAGCTATATAGGTACCTGTCCTACCTACACCAGCACTACAAGACAACATAACATCAATATTATTCGAAGTAAACTATGTATATTTCTTAGACAAGACCATCTTAGTCTTAGCTAAGACGATACAATCGAACTTTGCTTATACACTGTCAATTTGATATACACTTAAATTTAAGTAGAATCCATTCGGTACCTCTCGAAAGTTTTCGTACAACTGCATTCATAGCACCAACTCAATTTTCATGGTGGATATAATCTTCCGTTGCTCATACCATAGAATATAAAAGATATGTCTGTTTTAAATTCTAGAAAGTTATGATGTCTATTTACATTCACCCTTTTCAAACCTGAGTATAAGTGAACTACCTGCAGTGTACCACTTGAGGAGCGGTTGATTGTGGTTGATGCCTGTTAACTTCATATAAAAAATCCAACATGTCGTGGACATCAGGAACATCATGATCTGGCCAAGCCTCATAATGGAACTGAGTAAACGTGTGACTTGAATCTCCCTGCAAATTAATACTTTTAGTAATGATGATGTTTTTGTCACGTTATCTGTGACTTTGGGATCTATTACTCAATCTTCATTGTGATCACCAACATAATACAACACAATCGAATGGGTATGTAACACATTACAGAATTATATAACATTATTCAATAAGATACCTTTTGGGAGTTTCATATGCTTAAAAAGTGACAAAGCTCACTAGAAGGGTTTCATGTAATATGTCCATCCACATTTTCAGTACCTTGTTAGCGACATTCGCCAAGTTACCCTTTCCTGTGCAATATTATTCTACATCCATAGACGGTAAGACGTAAAGATATACGAAAAAGTACATTACGACATCGAGGAGGAGTTTTGATTGAAATATACACTTATCACAGAATGTTTCAGTTTGTATCAATATAATGTAATGTATCTAACGATACCTTTGTCATTAAAATGGTTCTTATGGTATAGTTAGCTCTTATTTTCTGATTCTTCAGCGTCAATGTGATATCACCTTTAGTTATTGGTTTATCATCAGGCCAGTATATCAAACATTTCATCTAGAACAAACACATAAAAGTTTCGAAACTTTGGGAATTTTTTCCATTTCGAACTATAAAATTGAGGGTGGGACGCACTTATTTATATGGACTGTCCTATGATGGATGCCGAGTTCACAAACCCATGCAGTCGCAGAGCGACACGAGTTGTTGGAACTGTTCCTGGATATTCCAGGTAGCTAATGATATAAACACTAATAGAATTTAGAATCGGCATATCTTTTTTGATGTTTGTTTACTGGGGCAGTTTTGTAGTTTCGTTCTGAATTATTTCTAACCAATGTTTTGCATGGTATAATTAAAATATCTGAAAAGAAACGAACCTTTCCCATTTCAAAATCTTTAGTCACCATAATAACTTTATCACATTTCTTCTCCATAATCATTCTAACAAAATCATTTATCATATGGGTTGTTGGACCTGAAGAGTAGTTAAGATTAATTAGATCCAATATCGTGGATCTTGATGTAAATTACTATAAATTGTACAGCATCGATTTTTAACATTTACCTGTTGAATGTATGCATACAAAAAAGAAACATGGTGCCTAGTTTTCAGAGAATAACTTGTCAGAATGTTGATCTGTATCATTTTTTTTAAAGACAATGTTTGATACTTTAAAATTATAGTTAGATGCGAAAGGTTTTGTGTCCTACACTTACCTTGCGAAGCTATATATTTCTTCTTATGATTGTAACCCTGAAATCATAGAGGGAAATATATTTGTATGCAGGCTTATGATTTAAAATCGTCTTGACCAGTTTCTTAGTTACACAATGGCATGAGTATTAGGGAGCATAGTCGCCGAAAGTTCCACATCAACACAAACGAAAAACAAATCAAAGATGTAAAGAAACTCGAATTAAACTTAAAGGGGTATTCCGCTTTTTAGTAAAACGTTTTCATTACTACAAACGACATAAAATATACCTGAAAATATTTCTAAAGAATACCTATGTATCTTCTTGATCAAACTGAATTTGTTTTATAAGGTTTAATTAAATACGGAGAGTACCAATTGTTAATTAAACAGTTTTACCTAGCTTTGGTGTTTGGACTTATAATGGCTCTATATTATTCGTTTTAACCTTTAAAATGCGTAGGATACATATTACAATTATTTACAATTTATTTTACTCAAATCCATACAGTGTTTAGTATATCAACTAAAATGCTCGTATTTTTTGAGTTTGTCCAAGCTTTACCAAAACATGAATGCCACCTGAAATAGTCAACGCATTAAGTCAGTAATAAGATTTAAACTTACGTCTAAATAGTTGGCATTAATATAATCTAAATAGGGATTCTCTGGAGTATTCTCCAAAACAACTCTTGAGTGGTCATCTGGAAGCAAAAATACAAGTCCGGTCTGAGTACATCGTTTCTGAAAGTGCATATCTGTAATTACGTATTGAATTATATTATTATCAATATTTCAATATCTCAATGAGTACTTACATGGGTAGTAACCAACAAATCTGTTCTTTGTCTTATTGGCTGCAAGTTGAGAGGTTGAATAGGGAAATGTCAGTTCTGTAGGTAGTTTCTGGAAACAAAACGTTTTTTTTATGTCTTTGTCAATCAACACTTTATATCAAGTGAATTGTCGTGCAGTGACGGCGCTAGCCTCGGGGCACAAATAAAGGGCAGAATTCGGCACTCAATGGAGGCGGCATTTTGAGCGTTCTCCTAAGAAAACCTTCGAAAAAGTGAATTGATAAAGTGCATTCTGAGACACATTTTGGGGCAAAAACGATTCATAATCAATTTTTTTTAATATGTTGAAATAAAGTATGGGTACAATTGGGGGTGCAAACCATTTTCTCTTTACCCCCACTGACACCGCCATTTCTGTAGTGGCATTGTAGTAGTTCAAAGGTCTTCTGTGTATTTTAAAGTAAGTACGTCATTTGTTATATGATAAAAGAAAAATAAGATTGAACTGGAAAGATGGTGCCATTGCTTATGGATTCTGATTTCCAAACTATGGGGCTACCGGAAATGACGTGCTAGCATTTTATCAAAGACAAACTGTAAAACTAAGAAAGTAATTTTATACCAATTTTTACTGGGTGATAAAAACATTTCACATTGCAATACTCACTGCATATAATCCTTTAAAACCATTCTGTGACTTAGCCTCGGATATAAAGTTTTCAAGTTCATCTACAGTAAATTTAGTGTGCGATGGTAAATTATAATAATCATCTTCATTATCATAGTGGTGACCAGCTTCTAAAGATTTTCTTTGATTTCCATTATCATCAGCACTGGGCGTCTGCTTTGAAGGTTTTGGATTAATGGCTGGTTTTGAGGCTACGAGAGGTTTCGAGGATGGGCGAGGTGCCATTTTAGGAGGTGAACGTGCTGCTAACTTCGATTGTTTAGATAGACTGGATGCTTTGTTTGCTTGATCTTCAGTAGATGCATCAGCAGAGTGGATAGCTTCTAGAGCTACATTCTGTACTGGATCGATATCCACTGTGTCTGCTCTCGATGTTTCGTTTACTGTAATTGTATTTGAAACAAAATATTTACATTCATGTATTAGAGTGTTGCGAATGATTAAAAATTGTAATAATACGCTGTCATCAGTAAAGTTGCACAAATAAAAAATGTAGCAACGGTTTAATACTGAAGCTGTAATATCGATTTACCATTTAGATCCAGATTTAAAGCTCAAAGGTGTTTCAAAATATAATGAGATAAGGATAATGCACAGGAGAATTTTGAAATTCCATTCCTCAGATGAATTTAGCAAATGATATTTCTCTTGAAACTTTGATTCGACATAATACTTCTTTCATGCATATTAGCACTGGCCATAATTACCTTGTTTTAGTTTTTCAACTTGTTGTGGTTTCACTAGTGCTACATTGGTCAAATCTGGTTTTTGTAAATCAACGTTTTCATAAAGACCTTGATTGGTATTACTAGTCCTTGATATCTGGGCTTTCTTTGGAAAACGTCTTCGCCTGAAGAACATAAGATTCTACTCACTAGCCGCTTATATGACCAACCCTTCCCCCTAAAAAAATCAGACTTTTTCCTGCCGAGTTTCTGTACAGGACATAATCATATAACAGAATCATACAGAAATAATGAAAATTTCAAATTTCCACTGATCTAATATATACCGTGATGTGATCTATTTCAAATTCCAGGAATTCTAAAAATGCACGTTTATATACGTAAATTTTGCTCAAGTATTTGTTATGGTTCATACTAAGCTATTTTATGATGTTGATGTTTCAAATGAAACGGACTCACACTGACTGGTGTAAACATTCCGATCTTTTGCTTACCGAGAAATTCAGTCAAATAAACTTACCAAAGAACGACAATTATTATAATAACTATAATTATAACTAGTACACATACAGAAACAGTTGAGGCAATTATTATAATTTGATCTTAAAATAAAGAAAACGTATGTTTTAGATTAGGTCATTTTGAAATAACGTTGATTTTTTGGTCATGATTTCGTGTCTGTGACAAGCCATTTAAATTTCAACAATTAGTCCAAAAACCACAATAAAATATCAGACTAAATATTTTCAATGTATGAAAATCTTTCACTGCAATAATAATTGTGATAGTGAAGTAACAGTTCCTTATTATTAAGAAATTCACTATTCATGAAGACAATTGTATTTTGTTTATATAATAAATTTAATTTTTGTACAGCAAATATATATACTTTTGTTCCATTATATTTATATTAAGCAATTAAGGAATCTCTATGTTCCATTGTTTCAATAATTCAACAAAATATGTATTGATTCCATAATTCTAAAAGTGACAAAATCATATATTCTTGAATCAAATAATGTACTTTCAATATACAATCATATTGTGTACCTTGATCTGGTACTACCGGCATTGTTTGACTACAGTCTACACCACTATAACCATCTAGACATTCACCATTACAACTACCATCAACTTTATTACAAACTGTACTGTTATTTATACAATTTCTCTCTGAACATTTCTTATTACAGTTTTCACCATAGAAACCATCATCACATTCTAAATATATCAAGTTTGTTGTTAATGAAAGAAATATAACATTAATAATAAAAGAAAATATCTTTCAATCAACCACCATACACAACATACACTTCACACAAAACCTGGTTTACAACCATCTATATAATATCTACCATTAATATTATTATATACTGTACTCACTATATTATATTTACCTTGTGTACAGTCAATTGATATAAAACCTGGTTTACAACCATCAATATGATATCTACCATTAATATTATTATATACTGTACTCACTATATTATATTTACCTTGTGTACAGTCAATTAATATAAAACCTGGTTGACAACCATCAATATAATATCTACTATTAATATTATTATATACTGTATTCACTATATTATATTTACCTTGTGTACAGTCGATTGAAATAAAACCTGGTTGACAACCATCAACACAGGTGCCATTCATACTGTCACAATTTTGATTCTGTAAACAATTTCTATCTGTACACATTTTCGAACAATCTTTGCCGTAAGAGGCTTCGGGGCATTCTGAAAAAATATCATCATATTCAAATAATTAATTGATCAAGTTATTGATACACATATTAATTCTTTGAATTTAGTTAAAATGACCAAAATCCCTTCAACAAAAATTGAATTAAACGTTTGTCATTAATTGAACTTGGTTGGGTTGTTTGTTGTATATCGTGAAAATCATTGGTTTGTTCAATTTGTCGTTCTTATTAATAGATTGCTACTTACGTTTTGTGCAATCAACACCACTAAAACCAGGTTTACAACCCGCTGTACAATTTCCTGTGATATGATTACATTCAGTGGCACCATTACAATTTCTATCATTACAGGATCTACTACAGTTTATACCATACATTGTCTTATCACACACTGTAAGATAATTTAATTTTATAATTGAAAAGGAACAAATTCAAATTACTAATAACTAAGCAAAGGTTTGGGAAGTTTCGAGCAACAGTCCTGCGCTCAGAAAATTCTTTTTATACTAATGACTTGTGATATCAATAAGCCACGACTGAAACTGAATAGTTGCAGTAGTTAAATTTCAAAATCACAACAACAACAAAATATGTGTGAGGTTATCAATTAAAATAAGAATCATCAGCCGCAAATATCAAACTGGATTTTGGGTTAAAGCGAAGATACCACTTTTATTTCAATATTTCCCATTTTTTAAAACCAAGATATTCTCTTAATGACAATATCATAGCACATCTATCACAGTTACCAACTTTTCTATCTGGGATAGTCTCCTTGAAAGCTAACAAAATATATTTACGACCTGGACCTAATTACATTAAATAATTGTTTTATATATTTCGACTTTGGTACTCCATTCATCACGGAACATGCAAATATCTGTCAGTGTATATTTTATGTCAATACAATACTTACTCTGGTTACAAAGTTCTGATTTAAAACCTGGTTTACATCCACCGATACATATACCATTCATATTGTTACATTCTAGATTTAAACAGTTGTTTGAACAAGGTTGTGAACAATTGCTACCATAAGTTCTAGTTGGACATTCTGTAATTATATACAATATGAAGATTATAGTGAGTTC